GTTCAGCATTGCTCAAATGTGGGATTTTTCCTTTCCCTGGTGCAAATGCCAGGGCTGTGACCCAGCAGCAGCCCCTGCACCTGCCCGGGGTTTGGGAGTGGGGCAGAAAACCATTCCTCCCAATGTCCCACAGCAAGGGGCAGAGCCAGGGCCACACCCATGCCATGCCAGTGCCCATGCCCGTTCCCTGTGCTCATCCCAGTGCCCAGGCTGTCCTGCCTCTGCCTCTGCCTGTGTCTGTCCCATGTCCTATGTCCCATGTCCCATCCCATGCCAGTGTCTGTCCCATGTCCCATATCCCACGTCCCATGCCATGCTGGTGCCTGTCCCCGTGCCTGTCCCCGTGCCCATCCCCTCTGCTCACCCCGGTGCCCACGCTGGTGCCCGCACCCCACGCCCCGTGCCACGCCGGTGCCAATGTCGCCAGTGTGTCGCACCCTCCGCAGGCTGCACCGAGCCGATCCCGGCTCCCTGCCAACGCCTGGCTGGCGGCCACCAGTTATCCCAGTGCCGACCAGCAGAGGGGAATGCTGGTCCGCAGGAGCCTCCATCCTCCTTCTCCTCCTCCTCCTCCTGCGCTCCCCCGGCCCCGCCGGCCCCTCCCTGCCCTGGGGCGCTGGTGGGTGCTGGATGCTCACCCAGCGGGGGTGAGAGTGGGGTGACCCCCCGCCCTGTGCTGCCTGTCACAGCCCCCGGCACCGGCTTGGGGGCTTTGAGAATCGCCTGGTGCCCCTCAGTCAGTGTTACCCCTCTGCTCAGAGCTCCGTGCCCGGGCTGGATCTGATGGATCCCGCTCAGAGCTCCGTGCCCGGGCTGGAGCTGGGGCTGGAGCTGATGGATCCTGCTCAGAACTCCATACCCGGGCTGGAGCTGATGGATCCTGCTCAGAACTCCGTGCCCGGGCTGGAGCCGGGGTTTGGAGCTGATGATTCTCTCTCAGAGCTCCGTGCCCAGGCTGGAGCTGACAGATCCCGCTCAGAGCTCCGTGCCCGGGCTGGAGCTGGCAGATCCCGCTCAGAGCTCCGTGCCCGGGCTGGAGCTGATGGATGCAGCCCTGATTCAGCAGAAGGCGCTCAGGCAGGCCTGATTCAGCAGTGTTTAATGACGCTGTTATCGGGAGCGCAGCGCTGGAGTCAGCAGCGGGCCGGAGGGTGCAGCAGCCCGCGGGCACGGCATCACCACTCGCGGGGCTGGGCACAGCTGCCCTCGCCTTTATCAGCACTGCAAAGTTTTATTGCTGCAATCACGCTGCTGTTAATTGCACCGAGAGCAGTTCTGGGGAAGGCGAGCAGCGCCCGGCGCAGGAGGGCACCTGCACCCCCTTCTCTGCCGCTGCTTCTCCCTCCTGCCCAGCCTGGGCTGGCTCGGACCCCGGGGCACGGCGCGTCCTTAACAAGGACACGTCGGGGCCTCAGAGGTGACCCCAGGTGGGTTTCCATCCCCACCCTGTGGATGGGGACCTGAGCCCAGCTGCGAGGGACACCACGACCTCCCCTTGGCTGCAGCTCCTGCCCTCAACCCCCCCCCTCCACCGCGATCGGGTTTCCCGGTGATCTGGTGAGGTGGAAATAGATCCCTGTGCCAGGGTCAGTGAGAGTGGAAGGAAAACTCCACGGATCGCTCCTGGTGTCGGTGAGAGGGAAATAAACATTTACCGGGCTGGAGATTTATCCTGCAGTGTTCAGCGGCTGCAGGAATCCAGCAGGATTCTGGAGGAGGGGAGAGGTTGGGAACAGCCTGTTCTGGGCGCTCTGCAGGAGCATCCAGCACCTCTGCTGCCGAGAGGTCAGGCTCTACACCGTGCCAATGGAAAATCCAACGGGAACAAGGTGGGATCATCCCCCCCAGGCACCGAATCCACAGGGATCAGCTGAGGGGCAGGAGGGCAGGGAGTGAGCACACAGCCCCTGTCAGGCTTGGTTTGACTGCTGTGAGCAGAAAAAATACCCCACATAATCAACTGTTTTAAATAATGCCTTGTCACAGCCATGGATTGTGGCATCAGAATCATCCAGAAGTCCTGGGAGGGGGAAGGACAGGTATGGAACACTTTGCTCATCGTGATGGACTAATGCACTGAAGGCTCTGAAGGCTTGAATAATGTGGGAACTACCTCACCTCACTGCTGCCATCTCCACCATCCCAGGAGCTGCCTGAAATGAGGAGAGTGTTTACTCTCCTCAGCTGTATTCACAGGGAAATCCTTCATCTCCAAGCTGGGGTAGATAATTCATCAGCTCTAGGCAGATAAGCATTATTTCCATCTCTTCAGTGAGATGTAATTAGCTGGCATGATTAGACTTTATCAGTCTGCAATTCTGTACAACTCCAGCACTGCACAGCCTCTGATGGGAGGGACGTCTGTGCCGGGTCCCTCAGAGCCCCACCATGTGGGACAGGCCCAGGACAGGGTGTGACAAAGCCATTTGAGCATCACTTGTGCTGCTGGCACTGGTGGTTTGTTCTCCTCAATCCAGGGGCTTTACCTGGAGCCTTTGCAGAGGGAGATGGGGGAGCAGAGCAGGGAGCTGGGAGCTGGGAGCTGAGCCTGCAAAGGGGGATGGATTTAAAGACATCCCCGGGAAGGATGGAGCCAGGAGGGGAGACAGGAGGGCAGTGGGGGCTGTGTCTGCACCTTTTGTGCTCAGGAGGACAGGCTTAGTGCCTGAGCAGGGCCAGGCTGGGCTTCCAGAAACTGCAGCTGGAGAGGAAGCACAAACCATCCCCATCCCCATCCTGATCCCCATCCCCATCCTCTTCAGACACCCATCAGGGTGGCAGGGATGGAGGAAACCCTGACCAGGAGCACGTCGGGGACAGTGCCCTCTGCATGTGACCATGTGGGACTAAACCAAAATATGCTGGAAAGGAAGGACAAACTATTCCCATCCCCATCCTCATCCTCCTCAGGCACCCACTGGGGCAGTGGGGATGAAAGAAATCCCGACCAGGAGCACATTGAGGACAACGCCATCTGCATGTAGCCATGTGGGAATAAACCAAAATTTGCTCACTTGCTGAGTTTTGAGCTCCCAAATGTCCAAATCCAGTCCCAATAAAACCCTTCAAACAACTTCTTTACTTTCCTGGCCCAAGCTTTAGCAGCTGAGCCTGCCTCTGGCAGCAGCCAGCCTGTGCCAGAAGCTCCCTGCTGTGTCACCACGTGGCACTGTCTGGTGGTGCCAGGACATCGTGCCCATCCTCAGGTGGTTTTTGAGCCCCAAAAGCAGCCTGTGTGTCTGTGTGACAGCCTCCAGGCTCAGCTGACAAGCTATTTCTGTGTGCCACAAACATTCCCTTCCTGTTTGCAAATCAACAATATCAATGTTATTTTTTACCTCTTCATTCAGGTTTTATTTATTTATTTAAGAAACACACCAGTGGGCAAAAGAGGCAGTGATGACTCAGTGCTCCTGTGGATTAATTTTTTTAAAAATAGGGCTTTTAAACCACTTACTTGGTTTATTTAGCAGGATTCTGTGTGCACTGCCTAAATTATATTCCATACATTGCTTTTTTGGAAGGGATGAAGCTTGGTTTCTAATAATGAAGTTATTTACATGGATAGATATTCCCATTTATTTTCAATTTGAAGGGGGTGGATGCATTTTCATCACCTCTTAAATACCATCACTCCACTAAGACAGAATTTCAAATTAATTCACAGCTAGACTCCTCAGGGATCAGCACTGGGGAAAGTGTTTAAAAGCCTCCAGTGGAACGATTTTCTATTGGAAATGAGATTTTGCTGCAGATAAATTTCCCACAAGAATCCCTTGATACCAGCAGCATTCTGGGCAGGCAAACAAACTGCAAACAAGCCCCGTGCTAAGGGTAAAACCTTCTTATGGGGCATCTCAGGGGGGAAAAGAAGGGAAATATTTCAGCTTTGGAATTATTTTCCCATTGAAATGAGTCAGAGAGGTGAGAACAGTGTTAGGATGGAAAAAGCTGATGCACTGTGGGCATTCCTGGGGGGACAGGGTGCTGGGACAAACGCAGGTGACATCTGGGTGCCACTCGATGTCCTGGTGTTTTTTGACCACTAAAAACAGGGGAGTGTTCGGCTTGGGCAGAGCGTGGCACGGGCACACCGTACCCCAAAAGAGGATTCTCGGCTCCAGGGTGGCATCCCCCTGGCACGGCGAGGGGCAGGACCCGCTGCTGTCCCCGGGGGTGGTGGCAGCGCTGCAGGGCAGGGCTGGCGGTGGCAGCAGGCGGGAGGGGTGTGCCCATCCTGCCGCCCCCTGCCCAGCCCCGCGGCGGCCGAGGGCAGCTATTTCAGGAGGATAAACAGGATGCCTCGCTCCCAGCCCGGCCACTTCCAACCCTCCCTCCCACCGCTCCCGGGTAAACAAGGCCAGCCCAGGAAAAGCCTCCCGGAGCCGTTTCCACGCTGGCTGCCCCGCAACGAGCCAAGCAGCTGAGCCGAGCATCGCCCAGCCCAGCCCCGGCTTCCAGAGGTCTGGAAGCATCCAGGGACCCCGAGCGATCCCAAGGCGTGCATCCACCTCGGCAGCGACTCCCCGGAGCCGCCCTGCAGCTGGGAACGGCTTGAACTTTCTGGTCACGCCAGCACGTCCTCCTTCCTCCTCCTCCTCCTCTTCCTCGCTCGGTCACACCCCGAGCTGCTGGCGGTGCCCGGGCTCTGGGAACGACGGCGGCGAGGCCTTTCGTGCCCGCGGATCGTGCCCAGGCAGCGCCGCGGCTCCTGCGCGGCTGTTTCCGCCTGTTGCGCTCGGGAAAGCAGCCGCAGGAGCACAAGGGGAAGGAGGAGCTTTTCCAGCGCTTCCCCCGGCTCCGCGGCTCCCGCTGCTTCCTCCCCGGCTGTGTCCGAGGAGACTTGGCACGATCGCTGGCACATTCCGGGTTGCAGTGTCCCGCTCTGAGTGTGCCCCCCTGCTCCCGGCTCTCCGGGAGATGCCAGCCCCCATCCCGGGACAGCTCCTGCGGCTGGGGCGGGTTTTAGATCACCTCCAGCGCTCCCATCCCGTTCTCCGCCGGGGGGGAGGCCGAGGGGCCCTCGCTGTGCCCGCATCCCCCGCCGGCTCCCAGCCCGCTCTCCGCTTTGGCACCAAGGCCGAGGCTGGGGGGCGGGGTGTGGGCGCAGATGGGACGGAGCCCGGGTGTCGCAATGCCGGGCTGGAGCAGCGCCGTGCCAGCACCGAGCCGGTTTTCCCGGTGGCACTGCGGGGGGACACCGGGCACTGCCCAGCTCCCGGCTGGGGGCACGGCCCCCTCCTCCATCCTGCCCATCCCCCCGCCGGGTAATTAGCCGCGCTAATTACCGGCGGGGGACACTCGCAGCCTCTCCCCGAGGCCGGGGGCGGCGGGCGGGACGCGGGGCGGTGCGGGAGGAGTGGCCGGGGGGGGCCGTGGGGCGCCGTGCTGCCGGGCCGCCCCGAGCTCTGCCTTCTTCCTCCTCCTCCTCCTCCTCCTCCTCCTCCTCCTCCTCCCTCTTCCCTCCTCCTCCTGCCGCTCCTCCCGCCGCCCGGCCCGGCCCGGCTCCGCTCGCCATGGGAGATGTGGTCTCCACGCACCTGGACGAGGGTCGCCGCCAGCACATCGCGGGTGAGCCCCCGGCGCGCCCCCCGCTCCGCTCATCCTGGGGAGACCCCCGGGATCTCCCCATCCCTCCTTCAATCCCTTTGGGAACCCCCCCGCTCACTCTTCCCGGGACCCCAAGCCTGCTCTTCCCCTCTCTCGCACTTTAAACTTTGTAATTTTTAGTTTCCCCGCGGTTTTGCCTCGGCACAGCTCGGGGGCTACCCGAGGTGCCTCCCAAATGAAAGGCTGCGTCGTGCCGGGGTGTTTGTGTTGGCGGCGGGGCTCGGGGACCTCTGGGGCTGCGGGGAGGGCAGAGGGGACTTGTGCTCGGGGGGATGCTGGAAGCGCAGGGACACCGCTGTCAGCACGGGCACTGCTGGCGCTGGCTGGCAGATGAGTCTCATCCCCCTTCACAGCGCCGGGAGATCCTTACCCCCCCAAGAGGTTCTGCGCTGCCTGCACCCCTGGCTGGCTGCAGGCAGGACACAGCAGTGCCCCGGCAGCTCCGTGGGACCGGCAGGGTGACAATGCGGTCATTGAGAGCCCGAGTGTCCCGGGGCGGCGGCGCCGCGCCCCCGGCTCAGGATGTGCGCCCGGAGCTGCCCGGGAAGCGCGGGGTGACGGCTCTGCACGGCACGGACCGTGTGAAGCCGTGCCTGGGGGCTCAGCGCTGCTGACTGGGGTCTGTGGTGACACTCCTGACCCCTGTGAGTGGGGTCATACCCTGTCGCCGTGCTGGGCTCCCCCAGGCCACTTTGCGTCACTCGTGATGCGGGCGCTTGGCTCCCCGGGGCTTCTAAGCGGGCAGGACGTGACCTCCGAGCTCTTTCATGTTCCAGCTTTGGTTTCAGTCCCCAGGCTGGCAAAACCTCGTCCCCAGTGGGTGAAGCCACCCCCGCAGCAGCGGGATCGGCCCTGAGCGGGTGTCACAGCCGAGGGTGGCTTCGAGCTGGACCTTGTGCGTCTCACCGGCAGCTCAAGGGCTGGGCAGCGCCCAGGGTTTGGAGGTGACTCCGCCGTATCACTCCTCTGTCGCGGCCATAAAGCCGCGGGAGTGGCTCTGAAGTCCTTTTGTCCCCAAGGGCTCTGGGGGAAGAGCTGCTGGAGCTGCCGTGGGGCTGGCACAGGGACGGCTGTCTCGCCGTGCAGCCCATCCGCCCTGCCAGGCCCCATCCTGGCAGGAATGCTTACGTGGTATGCAGCTCAGCAGGACGCCAGCAGGTTTCTGAGCTTTGAAGGAGAGCTTGGAACTCGCTCTGGGGTTTTCATCTTGCATTAGTTAAAGCTCAGCCCGGCTGAGCACCGGGTCGGGGCTGCCTGTGGTGTGTTTGGATCCAAAGCACATCCTGAATTTCTCTGGAACTTGCTGAGATTGTCTGTGCACAGATAGCTCCCCGTGCAAGCCCCTGTGACCCTAATCCTGAAGAATAACAAGGAGAAACCTGGCTGGGTTTCCTGTGCAGGAATCTGTCTCTGCTGGGTCAGGGACTGGGTGTTTGCAAGGCCAGGCTGGGTGGCTGCACCCTGGCAGGGGCTGAGCTGTTAGCCCAGGATGGGATTTAATCCATGCTTGGGAACTGCAGAGAGCTTGTCATGGGAAAAAGTTTTCATGAGAAAAAAAAAGATTTCTTGAGGAAAAAAAAGATTCCTGTGGAATAGGATTATGGAGACTAGGCTAGGATGTGTCCTGTGCCATGCTGGAGTGAGCAAAGGGGACACACACCTGTACTGGGACACCTCCCTGGGAGAGACTGGGGAAAACTGTGTTCCTGGAGCACCTCTCTGCTCCTGCCAGGGCTCCTGGCTGGCTGGGGAGCCCCCGGAGCTGGGAGGGGCTGGAGCCCAACAGGCAAGGCACGACTTGCTGTCAGGCATGCAAAGCAACGTGGCGGGGAAAACTCCGGGTTTTCCTGCCTAGCTCGGCCTGTTCTCCACTGCTGCTGCCCCAGGAGGGATCCAGCCCTTCTCCACGCAGCTTTTCCCAGTTGTCCTCCCAAATCTGGGGGGTTTGGACTTGCTGCCCAGGCCCCCATGCCCCTGGGTTGTTGGAAGGACAGGAGCTCCTTGGGCTTGGCAGTGCTTCCCGAGGTTGCAGCCTCTTAGAGCAGCAGAGCTGCTGGGGAGAGCCTGGCCCGAACCTGTGCCCCTCCTGGGAATGGGGTAAAGAAGGAGGGAGGTGGCACAAGCCCTGCCATGCCCACAGTGTCCAGGCTGGGCAGGTGCCATGCTCTGTCCCAGCCCTTTTGATGGTGGCTGTGTGAGGCTCGTGCCAATGGCTCCCAGAAGTCATGAGCCACACATGTGTGACTTGGGTGCCTCAGGAGCAGCGTCTTTCCTCCCAGCTGGGGCTGGAGGGCTCCAGGGAGTCACAGAGGCAGGTCCCTGCCAGCTTTGGGGCTGTCAGAGCAGCCAGGTGTGATGCACAGGTGTGATCCTGCATTCCCTTCTGCAGGGTCTCTCTGACCCATGCTCCCTCCTGCCACCCTGCTTTTCTGCCTGAGTCAGCCAGTTTGTTTGTCAACACCTTTCAGCTGCTCTCCTCCTCCTCCTCCTCCTCCTCCTCTTCCTCCCTGATGTGGGTTGGGAGTTGTTCCCAAGCTGCTCTGTGGGCTGGAGCAGGGACTGGCTCACCCTCCTTATGCAAGGATGCCCAGCGTGGGCACACCACGCTGGCAGGGATGGGTGTCCTGGGAAGCCAGGATGTCACTGGGTGTAGTTTTGCAGTGTTCTCTCATGCCCAGGGCAGTGGGCGCTCTCAGCATGGGACTGGATGAGCTCTTCCCTCGTGCTGGAATCATGGTGCTTCCCTGGAGCATCCCATGGACCCCTTCTCCTGGGGGCTGAGCTGAAGCGTAGCTGGCAGGAGCTCTGGGTGGAGCTGCTGGTCCTGAGCCCAGGGGTGCCAGCACCCAGGGATGCAGCAGGAGCCCCTGGGTGCCATCCTGGGTGAGTGGCAGAGGCCAGGATGCAGCAGGAGCCGCTGGATGTCTCCACAGCAGAGGGATGTGGAGGTGGGTGGCAGCACAGGGAGGGTCCCTGGGAGCTCACACCTTGCTCTGGCATCTCCGGGAGTCGGCAGCCCGTTAATTACGGAGTGAAGCAGCTGCTAATTTCGGGGTAGGACTTCCACAGGCAGCAGCCCACGCGGAGGTGACACCGAGCCTCATCCCTGGGGCGGGACCTGCAGCCTCCCTGCTCCAAGGAGCCTTGTCGGGATGGGATCGGATGGGATGGGATGGGGTGAGCTGGGCTGCAGGGACGGCTCCAGAGGTGCCTGGCAAACGCCAGAAGGCACCAGGCTGTGGTGTGCCCCCGGGGTGGAGGCTGCTGGCAGCAGGAGGAGGTTCGCGGTGGCTTCCCTAAGCGTGACACTCATTTCCCAGCCTTTGCCACAGCTCAGCCCCAGCCGGCGTGGGAGGTGGAGGCTGCCGGGCTCTGGGGTTGGTCTTGGGCTGCAGCCCTCACCCTGCCCCGGGGGGAGCCGTGCAGGGAGGCTCCGAGGGCGCTGCAGCCGTGGAGAGGTTTCTCCCAATGAAATGTGTCTTTCATCGCCAAATAAATAACTCCCCTGGCATGTCAGGGCTCCCTGCCAGCGGCGAGGGCTGGTTCTGGCAAGCTGGGGCTTTACCTGCAGCCGTCGTGTCAGGGCACGGGGCTCGCTCCCAGCCAGCGTGTCGGGGCAGGGGACACGGCTCTGGTGGCCTTGCCACGGAGCCCTCCCGGCCGTGCTCCGCTCAGCCCCGGGGCAGAACCTGCCTTCCCTCGGGGAGGGCTTCCCCGGCCTCCCCCGGCCCGGGTTTAGCCAGAGGCTGGGCTGGAGCGAGCTGGGGCACACAGGGAGGGGATCCCTGTCTGCCTGGGAGCCGCAGCGCTGGGACAGGAGGAACAGCCAGGGTGGCAGCTCAGAGCTGTCCTCGGGCCAGCCCAGGGAGAGAAAAGCACCCCCAGAGCAGGACACCTCCATAACAGTATCAGACACTCCAAAACCCACAGCAGGGATGTTGGATTAAGCCCTTTTTTTGACCCAGATTATGCTCTTTTCTGACCCAGAGATGGGGCAACTGAGAGCCATTTTAAAAGCTTTTATTCTATTTTCAGTCTCGTGTGAAGGGTGAGACAATACAGATGTTATAATTCACACCATCACAAGAAGCCAACTATTTCCTAATTACAATACATTATAAGTGTTTCTTGGCCTATCACCTTTAGCCACACCATGCTGTAAATGCCTTAAAACTCTACAAATTCTCTCCAAATTCATTTCCCACCCAGGGACACAGCCAGGAGCTGGGATTTCCCAAGCCTTTGCCTCCCCTTCTCCCCAAATCACTGCAGAGGCAGGCTCAGAGCTCAGAGGGGCTCAGTGCCCCTTGGCACAGCCCCTGCCAGCCCCAGCCCACCCTCCTGGGACTGCCAGGCTCCTGTGCCTCCCCTTTCCAGCAGGAAGCAGGGCTGGAGGGATGCAGGGATGTTCATCCAGGGCCACTTCACGGGACAGGGTGTGAAGGCAGGTGAGGAGCAGCTTCCAGGAGCTGCTCTGCCCCTGCAGGACCCAGCTCTGCTCCCACCACCCAATTTTTGGGGGGTGTCACCTCCTCCTGGGGCTGCAGCCCCCCGAGCCCATGTGCTGAGGCCCCCAAGCAGGGGCTGTGCCCCCTCCCCAGCCTTGGAGCCTTGTCCCCTGCCTGGATGTGCCTGCATGGCTCTGTGGAGAGCCCAGTGTGGGGCCAGGAGGGGAGGAAGGGGCAGAGCAGAGCAGTCCTTGCTTCCTCCCAGCCTCCTGGACCGGCAGGGGAGGAAGGAATAAAACTCCACCTTTTCCCTCTTTTCAAAGGGAAAGAGCAGCGACATTTGACACAGGTCCCAGCTCTGGCAGAGCACAGTGCCCTTCTCCCTGCCCTTTGCCATGCTCTCCTGCCCTGCTTTGTCCCCTTCTGCCCTTCCCTGACAGGGATCTCTCTGGGGAATTCCTCTGGGGAGCTCAGACCCCTTCACTAGGGAGGTCCCCAATGGGACATGCAGGA